CACTTACTGCCTGGCAGTCTTTGGATGCGTGATTTATCTCTTCAATCACGAGGAACTTGACTTTATTCACCTTTGTGTTTCTACCTCATCCCCCAAGTGTTAGATGAATGACTTAAGGGATAAAGGTTTTGGAGGATGGGTAGACCAACTTAGCAGGCATGTCTGTGCTCAAGCCTGACCATGTCAACCCTCCCTCTGGCTATAGCCATGTCCTTATAAGCCCCACAGGAGTATGAATGAGCATATAGCTCTATACTGCTGTGTGTGATAGGATGCAGTCTAGCTTGGCTGTGAACCCCATTTTTGTAATGTTAAATGTATTACAGAGCTACCAATAGTACCAATTCTTGTTCTGGAGGGTGGGAAACAAAAGAATTTGAGTTAATTTAGATTGTCATGTATCAGTTTTATTTAAAAACAAGATGTTCCGGAACATTTGGTGAACCGACATGTCTCTGTTTAGTCTTTCTCACCTGAGTCTCTTCTCAAAGTGTTCCGGGAAACCCAGGCCTTTTGAAAACAGGATAATGATTCTCAACTTCCCCGCCCTCTTGTCACCCCATAGAGAATTCCGTTAGGCCAACAGAAGACATGGAGCCTTATACCAACATCTCCGAGGGGCGTAAGGAAGTCTGCTACCTTGTAAGTGGTGTCAGACTGAAGAACCTGTCACCTCCAGCATCACTAAAAGGTACAGAAAGTTGAACTCACATTCAAGTTCCCGGTCGGTTTTACTTTGGCCCCTTTTAGGATGACTGTCTAAGGAAGAGATGAGAACCAAGTTCTTGGAGCGCGCGTTTTGTGTTGCCCCGGGTGGTAGGCAGGCTGTACAGCGGGTCTGCTTTTTCTCCCTCTGGTTAGGAGCCTCCTCCCCTCTGTACGTACTCTGGATTGAGCAAATGCTTATTCAAATGCACAAAAGAGTGACATGTAAAGATCTGGGGAGGCAGCTCCCTGGGTAAGGTGTTTGCTGTGCAGGCAACAGGAAGAACCTGAGTTCAATCTCTAGAACTCATCAGGCATGGTGGCACATGTTTTTAGTCCCAGTCCTGAGGGGGTAAAGATGGGAGGTTCACTGAGACTTAGGGTCTACCAGATTAGCTGAATTGGCGAGTATCAGGTTGTGTGGGAAAAAAAGCAAAACAAAACTAATTTACTTTTCTATTGCCATGACCAAATACCATGGCCAAGGCAATTGATAAAAGAAAACATTTAATCCTGAGCTCATATTTTTGTAGAGGGTTAGAGCCCATGACCATCACGGTGGGGAGAATGGCAACAAGCAGGCAGGCATGGTGCTGGAATGGTAGCTAAGAGCTCACATCCTTATCTGTAAGTAGGAGACAGAGCTAACCGGGAATGGTGTGGGCTTTTGAAACCTCAAAGCCAACCCCCAGTGACACACTTCCTCCAACAAGACCACACCTCCTAATCCTTCCTAAGCAGTTCCACCAACAGGAGACCAACATATGAGTCTATGAGGGTCATTCTCATTCAAACTATTACAGACCCCATCTCAAAAAATAAGATGGCTGGGAATAGTGGTGCACACCTTTAATCCCAGCACTCAGGAGGCAGAGGCAGGCAGATCTCCGAGTTCTAGGCCAGCCTGGTCTACAGAGTGAGTTCCAGGACAGCTACGGTTACACAGAGAAACCCTGTTTCAAAAAACAAACAAAAAAGTAAGTAAATAAGGTGAAGTGTGATTGAAGAGAGCTCTCAGTGTGGACTTCTGGCTTCTAACTGCACACACACACAAACAAGCACGCTTAAGTACATGTGCAAATACAAACATTTATTTGCCCATATATACTTATACAAATAATGGAGTGTAATGCATTGTTAATTAAGCTGAAACCAATCATAAGAAAGAAAAATCTAACACTGAGACATTTTCTAACATAGTATGAGAAAGAAATGACAAAGAGCTTGTATTTAAAATGTATTGTTTCACTCAAGGACAATGAATTTGAATTCATTTTGTAGCCTGTATGCAGCTCCAATCTATGCCATCCAGAAGTAACTTTAAATGTTTGGAAGGATGGCCTAGGGTCATTTGGAGCCTTTGTCTGCAACAAGTATTTATGTTTCATTCACTGAGTCTCCTGAAGTATGAAGGTATCCTAACTTACTTTCAGCTTCCACCTACCTGTGTTCTGTGAACATGTTGAGAAATTCAAATTTTGTGTATAATGGATATAAAATGTCCAAGAAGTGGGCTAGAAAGATGATTCCACACTGTTTTTGCAATGGACCTGGGTTCTGTTTCCAGCACCCACAGGGTGACTTACAGCCCCTGTAATTCCAGTCCTGGGGGATCTGACACTGTCTTCTGGCCTTCAATGCACTCAGTGAACATGTCCTGACATAGATTCACCCATATTTGTAAAAAAAAACAAACAAACAAACAAAAAAAACTTAAGAGTCTAGGGGCTGGAGAGATGGCTCAGCGGTTAAGAGCACTGCCTGAGTTCAATTCCCAGCAACCACATGGTGGCTCACAACCATTTAAAATGAGATATGGCACACTCTTCTGGCCTGCAGGCATACATGCAGACAGAGCACTGTGTACATAATAAATAAATCTTATTTTAAAAAGTGTCTAAAAGGGGCTAGGGATGTAGCTCAGTGGTAGAGCAAGTTGTTGAGCATGCTTGGGGGCCCTGAGTTTAGGCCCCAGAAAACACACACACACACACACACACACACACACACACACACACACACACACACACACACCACATACACCACATACACCCCCAAAACCAAAAGACCAGGAACACATGAACTATGTTCATGCTTAGATGAAGAGTTGGGACTGGTGCTCTGGGCTCTTTGAGCCTTGCTCATACAATGGAGATGATTATGTGTGTCCTGAGCATAAATGAATCCCTTGGACAGATAGGGAGAGCCTTGTACTTACTGCTGAGTGGGTCCAGGGAAAGGAGAGCCAGTGAAGACAGCTGGGACAGCCGGGGAAGTCTTCAACAGACAAGAATGGGAAACCTGACTATATGGCCTCCTGTGACTTCTCACATACCTTTGTCGCCTTTCAACACTAAACTAGAATACCCTAAAATCCATCTTATTCATGTCATATAGACAGACCATAGAAACTGCATCTTGTATGTTCCCAGCATGAGGGGTATCTATAAATTGGGTACTAAGCAATTACTTCTTTTGACTTGGCTTAGCTAGGTTTCTACAAACAAGAACTGTAGCTCTGGACAGTCATCTGCCTCAAGCATGCATCTGATGACGGTGGATAACCTGCGTCCCATTGTGTGGCTTTTCCACCCGCAGAAATCTCTCTGGTCCAGCTGGACAGCATGAGCCTTTCCCATCAGATGCTGGTACGATGTGCCGCCATCATTGGCCTAACCTTCACCACGGAGCTGTTGTTTGAGATTCTCCCCTGCTGGAACATGAAAACCATGATCAAGGCCCTGGCCACTCTAGTGAAGTCCAATGTTTTTGATTGCTTCCGGAGCAGCAAAGATCTTCAACTAGCCCTGAAACAGAATGTGACCACGTTTGAGGTGCATTATCGCTCTATGTCCCTCAAGTCCAATGAGGGGTTAGGTGAGTAGTACCTGGAAAACATCTGTATGCCCCTTGGTTAGAGGCATATCTAGATGAAAGGGCTAAGAGGACTGGAGATGTAGTGGAGAGACAGAGCACTGGCCTAGCATGCACATTGCCCTGGGTTCAATCCCCAATACCACACAATTCAAAACAAAACAAAAACAACCTACCAAAAAGCCATAAAGAACTGATGTGTGTGAGGAAGGAGCAGCTGGAATGTGGCCTGCTGCCTGCCTGAAGAGTCCTTCCTTCTCCTTCTAGCCCTTAGCGAAGAGGAGCTCCGTGAAATGGAAGGGGAGGTGATTGAGTGCCACATGCTTCGGTTCTGCAGACCTATAATGCAGAAAACAGCCTACGAACTGTGGCTCAAGGACCAGAAGAAAGTCCTGCATTTGAAATGTGCCCGCTTTTTGGAGGAAAGTGCCCACCGCTGCAACCACTGCGGGAACGGGGACTTCATCCCTTACCACCATTTTATAGTGGACATTCGACTCAACACTTTGGATATAAGAACTGTCAAGAACATGGCCAAGTCTCAAGGATACAAAGGTAAAATTTACTTCACTTCTCACCAATCCCAACTCTTGCTGGGAAGTCTTAGAGATTAAAATCTATGTGTATTGGGTCAGGACCTTAAAGGCTTCAATCCCCGGGGGTTTGGGACGCAAGCCACATGATAGGTCCACAGGGCAGGGAAGAGCTAGCAATGTACCTAGGGGAGCGGAGGCCATCTCACTGTGACTTCCATACAGAGCTCTGGCAAATGAAGGGCAGCTGAGCTGACATCAAAATGTCTCACAGCAAGGGATGGAATCCAGTAGGTGGCATGTGGGGTGTCCTCCATGATGTTCCCTGAGCCTTGAGGAGTCAAAACAGATGTCCACATTCACTTCTGCTCAGTACTCTATCCAGTGTTGAGTCTCTACATTAACCATCACCTACTGCAAACAGAAGCTCCGGACCAAGGCTGAGAGCGGCGCCAATCTATGGCTGTAAACGGAAACGTTTAGAAGGCACTTTGATACCATGTCATTTTAGCAAAGCAACAACAATAGGCTATCCTATTATCTAAGATAAATGGAAATAGCCTGTGTTGGGGTTTTTTTTGGGGGGGGAGAGGGGATCTGGGTCCTTGCTGACCACAAAGAGGTATCCTACACCTGGTTCTGGCGTTTCTGTTTAACAACCTATGATTTGTGGGAGCAACATTGTCCATTCACACAGGGTACTTCCCTTCAAACGTCTTTTTTCAAACAATTGGCTAACAAAATAGTAGGTTTCCATGTGGCTTTTTCATATGTACATCTTTAGTTTCAGTTAACTCTCTTCCCCTTCAGCTCTCATTCTGTCTCTGTCCCCATCTTTCATTTGAGACAGAGTCTCATTATATAGCCCTGGTAGCCTAGAACTCACTACTTAGACCAGACTGGCCTGAATTTCTGAGTGGTCCTTCTGAGTGGTACTTTTACAGTCATGCACAATCATACCCAGCCCTGCCTTCCATTTTGAGAGAGAGAGAGAGAGAGAGAGAGAGAGAGAGAGAGAGAGAGAGAGAGAGAGAGAGAAAGGAGAGGAGATATCAGGGACTTTGAAATGGCTCAGAGGGGAGAGGTGATTGCTGTCAACCTGACAACTGAGTTTGATCCCTCGGACCCACATGACAGAAAAAGAAACTACTTCCCACATGTTGTCCTCTGACTTCTTCATGCACACTGTGGCACATACGTCCACTCACATAAGTAAATAAAAGGGTCCATTTTTAAGTTTAGAATCTTACAGTCAAGTCTTCCAAGGGCTTAAGCACACAGAAAATGGAACATCAGTGGTAGGTCTCATGCCACTAGGGCAAGTAAGGTGTCAGAGAAATGTACATAACTGTCACTGAGTGCTGACTACTATCATTATCCTCAGCATTACATTATTTTCCAAAATTGAAAATATATTTATTACTATTAGAAAACTAAACTGAGTGTTGTACATACCTGTAATCCCAACACTTGGAAGATGGAGGCAGGAAGATTAGGAGTTGAGGTCATCATTGGTTAGATGGCAAGTGTAAAGCCAGCCTGGGCCCCAAGAGACCTGTCTCAGAGAAAACAAAGGTAATATATGCATAGAATGCTACTGACATTTAAACCTGTACCAAGAAACCAAGACACAGTGAATGCCGCTGTCTAAAGTGAGGTTCTAGATGGAGCTGCGTGAATCACAAAGGATTAATTAGAGATCAAGTGGTAGGATTCTTATGCAGTGTGCTAAGAACCATGGCAAAGCTCTGCATGCAGGGTGATGGTCACACAAGTCGGGGACTTGATAAGGATGAGCCCAGAATATTCAAATTGCATTCCTATGAACTAAAAGATCTCTTCAGGTGTGTGGAGGCCAAGGCAAGAGGAGGGAGAACAGGGAGCTAGCTTGGGCTGCAGACAGCCTAGGTTATATAGTAAAACTCTCTCTCAAACAAAACAAAACAGATCTATGGAGTTACATTCATTAGCTGTTAAACCTTGGAGCCCAGGAGCTAGGCTGTGGTCCCCTACCTCTGCCACTGGCAACGATTCTGAGGTAGGACTTTCTAACCGATTGAAGTCTCATTAGATGGAAGATGTCTAATTCAAGACCTTATCTCCTTAAGTTAGCCTCTGGAGCACTTCGTTTGGGTTTCCTGGAGCATGTAGGTAGAGTCAGTGGAGTGCTCGCTTGCCTGGCGTATGCAGAGCCCTGAGTTTGACTCTTAGCACTGCACTCCCTGAAGTTCTCATTCTTGGGAGGCAAAAGCAGACAGATGAGAAGGTTATCCCTGGTCACAAGTTGAGTTCAAGGCCAGTCAGGGTACATGAGAGCCCATCGCAAACAAAACGAAACAACCTACATATGTACATGTGTATGTGTGTATTTAAATTTCTCTTTCTTCACTACACATTAATGTTACTTTATGGTTGTTAAACTAGTTTTTTTTTTTATTTTTTTTTATTTTAGTTTTTTTTTATTTTTATTTTTTTATTTTTTTTTATAAAATCTTTAGTTAAACTAGTTTTAATTGTAGCGTGTTAAGTGGGTCAGAATAATGTTTATCAGCTATAACAAACTGGCATTTCAGTGGGTCAGCACAGTGGAATGGGAATTTATTTACCTGCCTTTGTAACAATCCCCTGAAAATTTGACAAGTGGCCTGGCAGACACCTATAGACTCAGGTTCCTCCTGGTCAGTGTTTTGCTTTCCTTTGGCTGTTCAGATCTAGCTGCTTTCCTATCTAAGGAAAGACCAGGATAGAAACCCATCTACTTCAGAAGTGACATCCATCACTTCTGATATGATTCTACCTGAGAAGAGAACCACATGGCTTTTTCTAAGCTGAGGTGTCTAGGGGGTGGGTGGGTGGTGGTGGTGGAGGTGGCGGTGGTAGAGGTGGAGGTGTGGAGGTGGAGGTGGAGGTGGACTAGGAAATGTGGTTCCTTGGTGGGTAAAGGGAATAAGAGTCTTTGGTGGATGGCAAACATCTCACTTGCTCAATTATTTTCTAGCTGAAGAGGAAGTCAGCTTTTCTAAATCAGAGCTCCCTAAGAAATACAAATTCCCCGAGAATCGCAGGTATGCACATACGTAGTTTTTAGAAGATAGAAAAGAAGCAACTGTCATGACATTCGGGTCACTTCTGGGCCAACCTTGAGGCCTCTTAGGTACCCAGGGGGAATGACAGGGCTGCATGGTGCATCTCACCAGTCGGTGAGAGCAACACTGGACTTTGTTAGTCTTCAAAGATAATTTCACATCAAAATCTGTGCTGTGTCTGTAATTTATGGATGATCTGCTTATTCTTGTATTTAAACAGTGATGCAGAAACAAGGAATATAATATTGCATTTCTTTGACAATGTTATTGCAAAGATGGAGTCATCTCAGGATGACATCATCCCTCTGGAGTCATGCCAGTGTGAGGAGCTGCTCCAGATTGTCATCTTGCCACTGGCCCAGCATTTGGTAGCCTTGGAAGAAAACAACAAAGCCCTATACTACTTCCTAGAAGTTGCATCTGCTTATCTCATCCTGGGAGACAACTATAAGGTAAGCTGCTGTTGTCCACCATCATTGTCTTAGCCAATGTGCTATGGCTGTGAAGAGACACCATGGCCCAAGCAACTCTTATAAAGGAAAGCATTTAACTGGGGGCTTGCTTACAGGTTCAGAGGTTTAGTCTATTGTCATCATGGAAGTATGGTGGCATGCAGACAGACATGGTGCTGGAGAAGGATATGAGAGTTCTACACCCAGATGCACAGATAGAAGGAAAAAAGAGCTACTGGGCCTGGCTTGAGTTTCTGAAACTCCAAAGCCCTCTTCCAGTGACGCACTTCCTCCAATGAGGCCACACTTATTCCATCAAGGCCACACCTCCTAATAGTGCCACTCCCTAATGACCAAGTATTCAAATCTCTGAGCCTATGGGAACCATTCCTGTTCAAACCACCACAATCATCATACATCATGCCTGGCATGGTGGCATGCACCCGTGGTGCCAGCACTTGGGAGGTAGAGGCAAGAAGATCAGGATCTATTCAAGGCCAGATTTAGCTATATGGCAAGTTCATGACCACCCACCTAGGATACTCAAGACCCTGTCTTGAAAAAAGTAATTAATAACTGATTAATTAAAGTACTACAACCAAGCCAGGCATGGTGGTATACTTTGGAAGCTGAGGCAGAAGAATCACAAGCTTGAGGTCAATCTAAGCTACATAGCAAGTTCAAGACCAGCCTAGGCTACAAACCAAATCTTTCCTTAATTAATGAAATATTGCCACTCTTGAAATTGTCTACCTGGGAGAGAGGAAACTGGACTTACATGCAAATGATTTGGGTTCACTCTCAGTATAAACGTTTCATTTGCATCACAGTCCTCGTTAGTAACACCCCAGTGGTTTACACCTTGCTGTCCAACAGTACTACGGAGCACAGACGAGCGATGGGTTTCCTGGCTGATAGGAATTTATTTCGGTCCTGTCGCCCTCAGAGGCTCCCCCACTTCTGTCTCCGTACAGTTTGGCTAAACCATCATACAGACAAACTTGAGGCCACCAGAGCACTAGTTAACACTTCCCCAGGAAAACTGTTCCCATGGCAACATGCCCCTTGAACTGAGGTAACTACATGCCTATAATGAAACAGAAAGAAGTGATCGCTAAATCCAGCAGACAGAGGTAGACATGAAGATACCCACCCAGCTTCTGTCTAGTGTAGAGGTCCAAAATAACCAACGAGAGCAGACCTAGGATGACCTGGGCCCTGAAGTGGCTCCTGCCTCCCTTGCTTTGGCAGTATCGGGGACAAGAGACCCTCTATTAGAACTCACCGCTTCTCCGTTTTCTTTGCTGGTTGCAGGCATACATGTATTTGGACGAGGGAGAAAGGCTGCTGAAGACCCTGACGAATGAACACTCTTGGAGTCAGACCTTTGAACACGCTACATTTTATAGTCTCAAAGGTCAGGTAAGGAACCATTACATTGGAGTCCTAAGGCAGTCCACAGGAGGAGTAAAAGTCATCCGTACATATTCTATAGCCTCTTCTCACAGAGTTTAGAACTCCAAGCTTGACTCAATACTTCCTCGCTATAACTTGATATCTTCCCTACCAAGTAGGTTGACATGCTTATGAAATGTCTTTGTAACAGTGCATATGCATGGGTAAACATTCCCTTATATGATACACAACTCAACGCCAAGCCCTACTCTTCAGTCTTTCTTGTGCAGGCATCCAATAACATTTTCATATTAATTCAATTTTAACATTAAATATTTTAAATATTATGTTAGAGCGCATAAAGATTTTGTTCCTGTGCCGGGCGGTGGTGGCGCACGCCTTTAATCCCAGCACTCGGGAGGCAGAGGCAGGCGGATCTTTGTGAGTTCGAGGCCAGCCTGGGCTACCAAGTGAGCTCCAGGAAAGGCGCAAAGCTACACAGAGAAACCCTGTCTCGAAAAACCAAAAAAAAAAAAAAAAAAAAAGATTTTGTTCCTGGCCACAGTTCAACTTTTTGAGATAAGTATTCCTCCAAATTTACTGTTGGTTCCTCTGCCCCTTTCCTTCTTCCTTAGGTCTGTTTTAATATGGGGCAGATGGTACTCGCCAAGAAAATGCTAAAAAAGGCGCTCAAGTTTCTCAACCGAATGTTTCCCTCCAATGTAATCACCCTGATCTTCCAAATGCATGTTGAAAAGAACAGACTCTCCCACTTGATGGCCCTGCATCCCCAGGAGGGCTCGCTACCAGGGTAAGGGAAGGAGCTGGGAACAACTGAGGGTCTCACTTCCACTCCCCAGGTAAGGACGGCTGCCATACAGCACACGTCTGTCCTCACAGCCTGGTGCTCCAGGACCTCAAACCCTCACTCATAGGATGAGATGGCCAGGGCCAGGATGCCCCGAGCACTTCACAAGTAGCTTTTGTCAAAGAATTCCACGGAATTCCTTCACAAAGTATCTTAGTTAGGGTTTCTATTAGGGTTTCTATTGCTGTGAAGAGACACCATGACCATGGCAACTCATTTTTTTGTTATTGTTGTTTTTGTTTTGGTTTTGGTTTTGGTTTTTTATTTTTGGTTTTGTTTTTTTTTTGGTTTTTGGAGACAGGGTTTCTCTGTGTAGCTTTGCACCTTTCCTGGATCTTACTCAGTAGACCAGGCTGGCCTCGAACTCACAGAGATCTGCCTGCCTCTGCCTCCCGAGTGCTGGGATTAAAGGCGTGCGCCACCACCGCCTGGCCATGGCAACTCTTATAAAGGAAAAACATTTAATTGGGGTGGCTTACAGTTCAGAGGTTTAGTCCATTATCGTCATGGCGTGAGATGGTAGTGTGCAGTCAGATGTGGTGCTGGAGCTAAGAGTCCTACATCTTGACCCACAGGCAACAGGAAGTGAGCTGAGACATTGAGCGTGGCTTGAGCATATATGAAACCTCAAAGCCCGCCTCCACAGTGACACACTTCCTCCAAAAAGGCCATACCTACCCCACAAAACCACACCTCCTAATAGTGCCATTTCCTATGAGCATATGGGGGCCAATTACATTCAAACTACCACACAAAGTGAGTACTAATTCTTGTTATTACTCATACAGTGACTCTCCCGTGGATCTAGAATCAGATATCAGAACTAGGGCCATGTTCTATAGAACCTCAACTGTAAGCCTCATGCTTTATGGAGATACTAAATATTATTATTATTATTATTATTATTATTATTATTATTATTTTAGATTTATTTACTCTATACACAGTGTTCTGCCTGCAGGCCAGAAGAGGGCGCCAGATCTCATTACAAGTGGTTGTGAGCCACTGTGTGGTTGCTGGGAATTGAACTCAGTACCTCTGGAAGAGCAGTCAGTGCTCTTAACCTCTAAGCCATCTCTCCTGCCCCTAAATATTATTTTTACCTCAAAGAAAATTAGCAGGCCTTGAGGATATCTGCCAAAGGACAAATTTCCCTATTCTATGAATTTGATAAGGGTTACATTAGGGATGGGTGTTCATTAATTTAAAATGTAGCTAAGTGAACTATAAAAAAAATAATGATCGAAGGGCTGAAAGATATCTCAGCCGTTAAGGATGCTTACTGAACAATCATAAAACTAGAGTTTGGATCCCAGCACACATATGATAAGCCATAAGCATGGAGGCAAGATGAGGCATGGTGGGAGAAACAACTAAGAGCTTACATTTTGAACCATAAGCAGGAAACAGAGTGAACTCTATATGGTACCCAAACCGGCCCCCAGCAACAGCCTTCCTCCAGGAAGGCCACATCTTCTCAGCCTCCCCAACTAACTGGGAATCAAGTATTCTAATGCCAGAGCCTGTGACGGACATTCTCATTTAAACTACTATACCATGCATCCCCCAAATGCTTGTAACTCCAGTTCTGAGGGATCTGATATACTCTTATGCATAGGTGTGGGCATTACATGCGCCTATAAAACACACAAAATAAATAAATAAAATGAATATTTAGAAAGAAAATAATGAAGCTGGTAGCACATGTCTCTAATCTTGGTACTTGGGAGACAGAGGCAGGATAGCACGTGAGTATTTGGAACTAACCCGTTTCATTTGTATGAAGCACATTTTCTTCCTTATAAAATGGAGACCATGATATCTATTTTGTGATGACATGGGGCTTTCTGTTTTTTAATTTACTTTTATCTGTATGAATATTTTTCTTAGATGTATGTCTGTGTACCGTGTGCATGTCTGGTGCCCACTAGGGTCAGACTAGGGTGTCAGATCCCCTGTAACTGTATTTAGATTGATTTTGAGCCATCATGGGGGTACTAGAAATTGAACCTGGGTCCTCTACGACAAGTACTCTTAACCACTGAGCCATCTTTCCCTCCCCATAACATAGTTTAGGTAAAAAGTGAAGCTGGTTACAGGCACATGGGTGTCATTCTCCACAGTTGAGTCTATAGGGAAAAAGGGGATGATTTGATCCCATTTCACACAGAAGGTGAAGTTTAGACAGGTTCACCTAGTTAATTCAATGTAACATACTTCAGTGCTTCATAAAAACGCATGTGATCGTCAGTCATGAGTCAGGCCTCCAGTTCAGGTTAGGGCTCTGGAAGGACAGCAGGAGGGCCCAGGGAGCCTGAGCACGTGAGCCCAGTGGTCAGGAACTCTTCCCTCTGTCCATCTGCCGTTCTGGTGACAGGAAGAAACTGGCACAACTCCACCTGCAAGCTTCCTGCTTCTCCTTGCTGTGGAAGATCTACAGCTTGAACCTCTTTTTCCACTACAAGTATTACGGCCAGCTGGCAGCCATGATGCAAATGAACGCCTCGCTGGAAACTCAAAATAATTTCCAGGTATGTTTGTAGCTGTCCTTGAAACCGCTGCATCGCGTTTAGAAAAGCAGCAGCAGCAACAAACCTCCTAGCCAAAGCCGACGGGACCTGAAAATCACATGGTTGTAATGGAAGCCTCTCTGGCTGGGTGGTTTTGCCAGCAGCTAACAAATGTTTTGGCCCCCAGATGACTCCAATGTTAGAATCAAACTGCTTTTGCTTTTGTGGGTTGGAATTGATATTATAGGACACCAAGTGAGAAAAACTTAAAGTTTGTGGGTTTTGTTTTTTTGTTTTTTGAGACAGAGTCTCACTTTGTAGACCAGGCTGGCCTTGAACTTGCAGAGCTCCACCTGCCTCTGCCTGCCAAGTACTGGGATCAAAGGCATGTGCCACCAGCGCCCAGCTAAAATTCTTAAAAACAACAGTAAAAAGTGTATATCAACATAATTAGCATTATTCAATACAGTTCTCCAAACAACATCAGAAAAATACAATGAGAAGTGTGGCATTGTATTAAGTTTTTGTAAATATCTTTTTGTGTGTGTGCTTTATAGATTCACTGTAATTGCGTGTCTTATTTTGTTTTGTTTGATTGTTTTGTTGTTGGTGGTGGTGGTTTGTTTGTTTGTTTGTTTGTTTGTGTGTTTGTTTGTTTTGAGACAGGGTTTCTCTGTATAGCCCTGGCTGTCCTGGAACTAGAGCTCTGTAGACCAGCAACCACATGGTGGCTCACAACCATCTGTAATGAG